ATGGATGGACAAAATGTTAACATAAGCATGTTAACATGCCCACTATGACAGTGCTAACATACTTATACTTATATATAATTGTAGCATGTTAGCATGCTAACACTCGCTATTTAGAGCCAAATACAGAACACACCTGAGGTTAAGAGGAATGTCAAGTTATCTAATCAAATACTGGGCATTAGTACCAAATTTGATGGCCTCTGGCCAGTAGCCAGTGTTGTAGTGCACCAGTCCAGAGCTTGGACTCGAGTCCGACCTGAATTTAGATTTGACTTGACTTGGTCTTGAAGACTGATTACTCAGACTTGGACTCAAGCATTGACTGCCTTCGGACTCGGAAGTTGGAGGAAGACACTTTTTTTTTCTTGTTTATGAAAAAAGAGGAACTGATACCAGGGATGAAGGACAGCTGAGACCTACTCAATGCACCTCACTATCTGGGAGCTGAAAAAGGTGCTTCACATGCTTGATGGATGTTTGTTCTTATTCTTTTATGTTTTAAGGCAACTGACATGATCAAGAGAGAGTGATTTGGTGATCAAATGAAGTTTGTGGCGCTACGCTTTGATGGTAATAGCAAGAACTGCAAGCATGCCATTATCTTTACTAAAGTGAATTAGTGCTGAATCACCATTATGCGCAAATTATACATCAATAATAATCATGAATAACCTAATTTTACACATGATCCATAATGATAAAGACAGAAAAACAGAAATAACCTATATAGCAAAATAATATATTTTAAATTTTTTAGACTAAACCCCCCCAAAATTTCACAAATCATGTTTTCAGGGGAGCTCGTCCTAGCTCCCCCATAGTTCACACCATGCCTTTGCTGTCACTGCCAGAAAAATAAAAATAAAAAAGATCTGCTTTATGTGATGTTGACATGAAAAGTGGCTGCACATAAGCTTGTTCTGTATATTAATTATTTAAGAATAACATAAAAATTATGGTTAAATTATGTCTTACAATTTTAAAAAAGAAAATTAAATTGAGGGGTAATAATAAATTATGATGGAATTTTTATGACCCTGTCTGTTAAAATGATGGACAATGTCTGGCTGACCTCTGCAATACACTGTTAGAAAGTTTGGAATATAAAATGATGAGGGCTGTGTTTAATGTAAAGCTTGATCAGGGACTCAATTCAGACTCAGCTTGGATTATTTTTGTGGTGACGTGGACTCGAACACTTTGGACTCTACTATAACACTGCCAATAGCTAGACAGATTGTTCAAAAGTTGAAATGTGAGCCCTATTACTGTGCCAGAGGAAATGTCGGGGGCTCAGTAAAGTCATCAGGACACATGAATTTTTGTAAGAGTTTGAATAGCACAGCAAGTTACTGTGGTTATTCTAATGACCTTAGTCGCCCCATAGGCGACTGAAAAACATAAATGGTAACTTATAGGGATAATCAATTTCACCACTAGTTGGTGCAGACGTCTTTTCTTACAGTTAATGACACCAGAGTTAATTGCAATCAAAACAAATAGATCGGGTGTAAAAGTGTGTGAAAGAAGATTTTACTTAGAGCAGTGCTGCACAACTTGCTGTCTTGAAACAATTTATTTTCACATACAAATTATTTTTTGACATAGATTTAAATCAATCCTCAATATTCCATTTTTATGGACAGGGGATAATTTTTTGGCACTGTGTATCTTCTGATAGCAGAATCATTTCATGTTAATTGCTGCGGTGTCTGATGTAGAAAGTACAGGCACTGCATTTTCCAAATGGCAGATATCTCAGGAAGCTCCTTGAATATTTATGTATTTCCACTACATTTTTCTCCTTGACTACTGGGAGCTCAACCAGAGCTCATATGCCTGTGAGATGTCTGTCCGGCTTTAGCTAAGATGCATACAAACATTCATTCCCACACGCATGCACACAAATACAGACTGGAGCTATAGAGGGGAAGCTGATCAGCCGCGTAGAGTGGGGAGGGGATTCCAATGGGACTAATTAAAGGGATGGAACAGACTGCAGAACTCATCGGAGACCGTCACTCTTTCTCCAACTCTAGCTCCTTTCGTTCTCTTCTGCTCCTTTGTGTTTGGTTAATGAAAGTTACATTATCCAGGGTTAAAGAATCCAATGCTGCTATTCATACCAGCACATATGATCAAAAAAGTATAGGAATTTGTATCTGATGTCTAATTTTATGAACACAAGCATGGGAACAACACAGAAACAGATGTAAACAAGTGTGCATACAAGCATACTGTATGTTAAAATTATTCGTAACTCACACCATGGTTTTTGTTTATCGATGCATAAAATCAGCTGTTGTTTGTGAGTCTGTGCTGACACTGTATGCGTGAGCACGAGTCACCATCAGCTGCTGAGTTCTATACTGATGGAGAGTCAAGCTGTTCTGATGTTATTGATCAGCACCCTATGTTCCTGAGCAGTCACAGACACACACGCACACACACAAGGCCGCCTCCTCTCCCCTCCTTTCCCTGATTCTCGCTCTTCTTACTTCTTTCTGAATCCATTTTTATATCACACACCCACTCGTTCTGTGGCAGACAGACCAAACAACCAGCTATAATAAAGTGGCATCACATCATGACAAACACTGCTGTGTGTCTAAATGAGCTGGAGAGGAAGCAGGCAGCTTCTCTGCTTTGATTCCTAATTATTTACTACAAGCAGAGCATAGGTGAGGGCAGGAGGAAGGGGGTAAGAGCCAGAGAGGAGGGGAGAGTGTAAAGGAAGACTAAAGGAGACAAAAAGAGATGAACTGGAGAAAGGATGATAAATGACAATATAGTATTCTGTGTGTGTGAGTGCAATGCCCTCTAACCAGAGAAAGCCTTGGCTCAGCCTGTCTGGCTCTGCAGTTTCTCCCAGCTTTAGAAATGCCTGGCTACATAGCCAGATGACTCACACACCCAGCTCAGAACTCAAGCCAGGGCTTACACACACACAAACTTCCTCATGGCAAATGTGCTCACACACATGCATGCAGTGATACATGCCCAAATAAAACACATCAGCATATATTCAGGTGTGTGAGTAATCTTGGCTGCGATCAACTAATTTACCCAGACTCCTGCAGAAACCTGGAAGGTTTGGTTTGCTTTACTTGCATTATCATATATTTGCTCAAAAGTATTTCAGAAGAATCTTTTAGAATCTTTGACTTTGCTACACCTTTGGCTTACTGGAAAAGTACTTGCCCTACTAATGTATATAAAGTATTTAAAGAGTGACGTTAATGCCAATATGGACAAACGTCCCAGTAACAGAACCATATAAAGACAGAAAACAACTGTTTGGAGAGTCTGGAGTTGGAAAGAGACTGAAAGCATAAAAGTGAGTGTTGTAGTAGTTTACTGAGCAGATCTACATCCCCCAGACTAGTCAGATACATCACTTTCCTTTTTTTTAAAAATGTGAATAGGATGTGTTCAAGGTAATGTGGGTTGATTAGTTTCTTTTCATGTAGTGTCTTAGTCTCATCGATTTGCTTTTGCTTTGCTAGCCTCCTGCAATTATATATTGTGTTGTTATACACACATATACATACTGTACACAAATTCACAGTTTCCCCGATGGAGAAAGAGAGTTTATTTGTTTATGACACAAGACTGTTGTTGTACTTTGTGCTTAGAATATAAAGTGCTTTAAACATATGCATCCCTGATCACTTCAGTGTAAAAACCTGCCAGCATTTGGACAGACACATATACACACAACAAGAAATTCTGCATATTTTGGGTTGTTTACTCATCATCATGTTTGCATCTCCCACAAAGTAATATAATAGAACAACAAAATCAATTTTTTAAACTATATTGCTAACTAACAATAAGACAAAAGCCTTGTTTTATTAGGAAATATTCATTATTGTTTTTATTGCAAGGTTTTTTTTTGTATTTGAGAGTTTGCACGTGTGTGTTCTCAGCAGACATTTGTGAGACCTGATTAAGTTGCAAAAAATTCAGACCACTTTGTTTTGGATTATAAAACTCTTCACTCTACAGATGTCTTCTGTTTGCAGCTTCCAACATACTGTATGCAAACACAACAGCTAATCAGCTAAATGATGTACCCGATATTAACAGAACTTGGATAATCTCTGTTTTTATGCGGTTTTCCTGTTGACTGCCAAGATAGAGAATTAAACCTAGTTTCCAAAACTATACGTAATGATAGCCTCCTAACACTGCTCTCTTCTCATCCCTCCCTCTCTCTGTGTGTCTCTCACCATCTCCTCTTCTGTTTGAATGTGTTTGTTCTAAAATATAACTTTGCCAGTGTAAATAATTTTTTTCTGTGGTGAGACAGAGAAGTGCCACAGGGAGTCTGTGAGTGTTGGTTGTGTCTATATATTTTATATTTGTCTTAGAAAGTTCTTTAAGGTGTATACATGTTGGTTTTAACAAGACTAGGAGTCTACAGCCGTGCTAGTGGCTCTGCCAGGCTGTACTTGAGCACAGTGGTCCTGTGAGCCAAATGCTAACATCAGCATGCTAATACTCACAATAACAAAGCTGAGAAGTTTATGTCAAGCAGGTATAATGCTTAAAGGCACAGGTGTTCCTGACTGGGAATGTCAGCTTTGCGCATGTATGATCATAAAACAAAGTATTGGAAAAGCTGACGTTTACCTGATGATGGTGCTAAATTAAAAGTCAGTGGGTTATAACTTAGGATCACACTGTATTCTGCAAGAAGACAGAACATTTTCTAAGAATTCAGTTTGTTTCATCCATTATTTCTCAGCCAGGTACAGGGTAATAAACTCAAAACGTTTCACCTGTGTGTCACTTTAAAGAAGCATCATCCTGATGAGGTACATATCTGAACCACATTTTATTGTAACCCACCCAAATATCAAGATATTTTGCTCAACAAAGCCACAAATGTGAATTTACCATCAACCACTTAAAAAATGTAAGGCAATGACTATTTTAATTATTTGTTTATGTGTGTCCTTTAATAGTTTATGTGTATTTTCGCTTCCTTCTGGCAGAATGCGGGAACGAGGTCCTTGCATTTGTGGAGTAGGTGTGTGGAGTCTACTGCTGTCCCTCTGTCTGGCCTCTCTTACACATGCACACAGGAGCCACACAGGTAAGTCGATGTATGTGCTCTATGGGTGTGTGTGTACAGCATCTATTTCGCTGAATTGGTCAGTGTCTGTGTACAGCACAATATTGGATTTATTATAGATTACCACTGCGGGCAGCCATTGCAGCCAATTTCTTTTCACATGTTGTAAAGTTAGGGTGAACAGACTGTGTGCTACCCATGGGAATGCAGAGGTTTGATTCACAATGAAATACGAGACTACAGAGGCAGGTTGCCAGGAAGAACACACAAAAAGTTCTTCAATAAAAGGAAGAGGAATAAGAGTAATCCATTTAAAAAAAAAAAAGGTCTTATCAGTTCAGGGACTTTCTCGTCTTTGCAGTCCCATCGGGGTGGGGCGACTCTTGATAACGCCTGTAGGTTACAGCACAAACAGTTAGCGGTGAGCCTTATGGATTAGGAATCCCTGGTTGCATGATACCCCTCTCATGTGGGCCAAGTGGATGAGTGACTACTGTGATTGAACCCAACAGCTTCTTACTATTTTCCAGTTCATTTCCTGTGTGAAGGTTGGGTATCTTCACTTCTTTGGTTCACTTGTGTGACACTGAAAATTATCTATCTCTGGGAAAAAAAAAGCTTTAGTGGAAAGCACACTGTACCCGACACCTGCACATGAACAAGCACTTTTTATGTGCCTGAAGCTATGCCTGTGCAGTTCAGTTACGAACATAGTGTATATGGGGGTTTGTGAGACTGTTTGTGATCCCTGTATGCATATGCTAAGAACTTCGCAATGATGATGCGACATGCTTTTGTTATAATGTTGACCATAATGATCTTAGTTTAGCATGTTAGCATACTACCTTATACTAATTAGCACCAAAGCAGTCTGACTGAAATGTTATTAATTAGGTCATAAACCAAAATAGTGGAAAATTTTCAATTTAGAGTCAGTGATGGCACTGGACAAAAATTCAGAGGATCCCAACAATAGTGTGTCTTAAAAAAACTAGAAAAGTAATAGAACAAGATTAGAAAAAGCAGAATAGAACAAGAATTAGACTAAAAACAGTTTTAAAAAAGTAAGTGTTAAGAGACTTATTGTACTTAGTGAGACTGAAGCAGTTACAGATGTGCTTCAGAGTGAGGGGACTCCATTTAGAAGGCACTGTCACCCTGGGTCTGGTGCTTGGTCCTGGACGGTGAAGACAGAAGGTTGATACTGAAGGTTGATACTAAGGAACAGAGACTATAGGAAGGAGTATAGTGGTGGAGGGAGTTTTAGAAGAACCAGTGAAGTTTGAATTAAATCTGTGGTGGGACGCAGAGTTAGTGGAGGTGCAATTACATTGCTATAAAATGTTTCAGGTATATTGCTCATCCAGATCATGAGTACAGATGAATATAATCAGTCTGTTGTAAATGAAAGAAAGCAGAACCCCAAGAGACTCCCTAGGCCCCAAATAGCTCCTAAAGAAATGACATCCTCCACTGAGTCTGGATTTTGATAGCACTAAACTTGCAGATCTTTGGCGTTCTAGGGGTTTTCAGGCTAATTTCAAGATACTCCTCCACACTTAAGGAGTAACAAAAGCCTAATGCAGGGATATAACTAACATGTTAAAAAAGACATATTGAGTTAAAATAATTATTAGCAATGACAAAAATGCTTAAGGACAAAACCAAGAAGTGATGACAGTGGATTTTGTGTTTGGTTTGAGCACACATTAAATAAATACATAAACATAAAAATGATAAGCTTTGGCTTCGGCCTTCATGTCATGAAGGAGTGGCATGTACCAGTTGGTCTTTATCTGAACTGGTTTGTCTTTGTCACTGCTATTACTGTTGCCTGACAGATGTTTATACTGCAGTCAGTGTTTCATGTCTTGCCTTGTACAGCTGTTCCATCAGTGGATGACTGAAAGGGAAAACAGTTTGATTCTTTTCTTTAAAACCCTTCTAACTAACTTTTGTCCTCAAAATCTCGACTGTTAGCGAGAAACAAAAAAAAAAAACTCAGGTGGTAACCCCTCCTTCTCTCTCTTTCTCTCCATTTAACTTTGTCCCTCCTGCCCTGTCTGTGAAACTACGTCACATGTGAAACTACAGCCGGAAACAGACTCAGCACTGAGGCAGCTCAGCAATAATATGTACTGAACAAAGCCCATAGAGCCTGCGGTTTTCTGTGATACTGCAGTGACAAGGGTCCTTTTTTCCTACCTACTGTAAATTAGCAACACAAGCAAATTATACAGAGGAATGTTTTTTCCCAGTACTAATGTTCTGGCCACTATCGCATCACTTTCAATGTTATGTAGTTGACACACATAACGTTAAGGTAAATTATATGTGAAATGAGAGAAATTACATGATACGCTTTGATAGTTCAACAAACTGCCCACATTTCTAACTGTGTTGATGGTGTAAATTTTAACAACGTCTCATTAAAATGTTATATAGACTGTTGCGTTATGTCTGATATAAACTAACCGTGTGACCTGGGCCAAAGCTGAGCAAAAATTAGCAAACTGAGCAAAATGACTTCATTCTAGGAAAATGGGCTGATTTCTGCTAATTGGACATCAAAACACTAACATTGCATTCAGTTGGAATGACAACCAGAATAATTCAATACAAAAGTGAGTCATACTGGTTTTAAAAACATATCTTATAACGTCGGATCATCGGGGCGTGGAAGACGTGTGGTGCAGATTTTAACAAGTGGCCACAGAAGGAAAGAAATAAACACAAGGCCTGAAGATAGCAGAGCAGGGTGGGGGTGGAGTTTTTTGTTTTACAGCAGGGAGGCAAAACTTCTAGACAATATTTTACTTGATTTACAAAAATGTGTGCTAAATCTTAGATTATCTAAGATTTAATTCTTCAAAATGAATGTAGCATCTTACATTAGTATCTTACATCCTTTGGTCTTCTCTGTAGCAACTGAAAATGTCTCAATATTATTCCTTCTTAGACACTACAAGATTCTTTGTAGAATGTGTCCTTGATGGAATGTGAGTACCTATAAGCACGGGTTCGTGCATGTGTGCGTTGTGCCTGTTTGTGCGTAAGACTGACTGTGCTGTTCTCTCGCTGCCAAGCATGATCTGTTCCTTCATAGAGGGATTCTTGAGAAGGCAAGGGCATTTTCATAAAAGTAAGGATGGTTAAAAGACATGATGAGAAGAAGGAGATTCTCTTATTGTGGTGCATCACCGTGCTTTCAGTGAAGTGCTGAGGTCTGCATAAAACAAATAAAATGTTGAAAACACCAGGTGAGAGAGATGAATGGCGAAGTCACACAATACGAAAAGTTTAGTTATGGCTTTGTGTCACTGACGAGGTTGTCACAATTATTTTATAATACTTACCTCTGAAGAAACAATGACAGTGACAGTAATGACAGTGACAGTAATGACAGTGACGGTAATGACAGCGTTAGCATTGCTGGCGACACAGTTGTACAGACAGTACAGAAAGCTTTGGGAACCTTTCAGGGTTTCCAAATTTAGTTGTTTCAGTCTCACGTTAAAATTGATTAATTTACACATAATACTCCACAATGATAAAGTGAAAATAGGTTTTTCAAGTGTTTTGAAAATGTATTAAAAATAAAAGACTGAAATATCCCATTTACATATGTATTCAGATCCTTCACTTAATACCTAGTTAAAACACCTTTCGCAGCAACAACAGCCTCAAGTCTCCTTGAGAATGAAACTACAAGCTTGGCACCTTTGCTTTGGAATTTTCTTCCATTTTTCTTGGCAGAATCATCAACCGAGGTCAACCAGGATGGATTGGGAGCATTGCCGCACAGCCATGTTCAGGTCTCTCCAAAGATGCTCTAATTGGTTCAAGTCCGGACTCTGGCTGAGCCACTCCAAAGTTTTCTTGGAGTATATTGAGTTCTCAGTTTAAAAGGTCATAAAAATATATATAAACAATGCAAGCCAGTTGTATCCATATTTATTTTAGTACAAGTACACATGAGAATTGGTGTGATCTCGTGGGATTTACAGGCTTGTCTGCTGCCAGAACTTCCAGTCATGAAGTGTGTTGCCCACAGAGTTTGATCAGTCCTTAGGTTTGTGCTTCTTCCCAATTGTCTAAGACTAAAATCTGCTGGAAACAGACATTAAGTGTGGCCTGTCCAGTCTTAGCAGGTTTTAGCCAGCCATCGAGTGTGTGCCCAGCTTTAGGCCAGAACAGAAAAACATGCCTCTCCTTCAGCATCGCTGCCTCTACATCTGCTATACCATCCATCCTCCTGTCTTTTTCTCTTATTCACATACTTTATTATGATCATACAGAAAATTACAGGCTTTATACCCAGACTACAGTGTTCTAATGTTCTTAAGTGGAATGCAGATCTCTTGCAGTGAAGACAGTTTATTTGACAACAAACAAGGTCTTGGTTAAATGCCTTAGTGGCTTTACCAAGACACTTGGAGAAACAGCTTGGCTTGGTTTTTGAAGTAAAGCAGAACAGTAATTATGCTGATCACTTCTCCACACACTGTCAAGTCATTGATTCTCAGTCTATAGGTTGCAATCTCCATACATCTACACTGATTAGAGGCTCCTAAGAACTTAACTTACCCTGAAAGGCTTGCTGTCTCTCAAGAAGGTGAAATAGAGATGTAAGGACAAAGACTTAACTGTATAGCGATACTAACATGAACTACTCTCATGCAAAGTTCAGAGGAACATGTGCATTCAGTCAGGCATGCACACAGGCCAGTAAATGCACACATAAAGACACACAAACACATGCACACATACGCATGCACACTCAAATAGGCTCTCTAATGTGATGTGTGGAGACAGGCTGTCTGCCCTTCTTAGAGGCTGCTCCAGGGCAAAGTTGCAGTCCATGCTTGGTCTACAACATGGCTCCATATGGCTTGTGAAAAATTCAAGTGAAAATTACAAATGTGAAATGTTTCATGCTGACAAACATCCCAACATTCCTTACCACATTTAATTCGCTGGTCAAGAGATAG